AATATTTCATTTAATGTTATACATAGACACATAATTATATAATTTAAATAAATTGGCTTAAAAAAAAAAAGAAATGCAGTTGTGGCTCTTGCCAGTTCTTCTCAATTGAATCTGTATACTGAACTGAATGGGAGGGTATAAAAAATATTAATACAGAAACCTTTACGTTCATAAGCGGCTAAAATGTGTGCTACATGAATAAATCATTTTTGATTTGATTAGACAGAATGAAAATATAATTCATTTAGCACTACCTAAGCCCATATATTTGGTTCTTATTTTTAATTGTAAAATTGTATAGTTGCCGTCAACCAAAGTTAGAAATTCGTTTTCAGGCAATTGCCTAATGTTTACAATAAACTACCAGAGTCTGATCTAAATCTGTCTGAAAAAAGATTCAAACACTTCCTTTGTAAAAAGGCTTATTATAAAATTGAAGAGTTTGTAAACGATAATAATGTTTTTGTAGAAAAAAGTTAAAATTGATAGCGCTGCAAATTATCCGATTGCACTAAGAATGAGTGTAGCGGTTTCTATGTTGATTATCTTATAGTGCAGTGGTTATCACCTCACCACTGTAGCGTTATATATGATGTGATGAGGAGTGGCTACATAATTTATCTGTTTATTACAGTACGTGTGTAGTGAGTATACAGGTGAAATAATTGTACTATTTATTGTACATTAGTATGTTTATTTGATAGTGTGCTACATGGCTTATTAGAAACGCGTACATACGACGCGAAGTCGAGATGTGGACTGACTTTATACTAAAATCTATATTATGTGGAAAGGTACTAATGGAAGGGTCTCAAATGTTCACAGAGATATTACAATTGTAGGCACAATCGCATGCCTCTCACTTATTATTGCGTAATTATTTATTTAAAATAACATTTATTCAAAAGAGCAACTAACAAGTTTCTTGCTCATTCTTCTTGTGACGAGTCTGCATTTCGAATGAGTGGTAGAATTAAAAAATATGACTATACAAAAGTGCTTGTAATTGAGGTTATTTCTAGTAAATTAAAACCTCTGGTAATGCTGAAAATTACTACCATAATAAACAGCTTTGGATATGTATAGATAGATAGATAGATGGATATATAGTTTATTTGATTGTTTCTAATCACACACAATTCCATATTCATATGTTTTTTTATTCTTTCAATATACCCGAGCGAGGCCGGCGCAAAGAGCGAGTTTGAAAATATATAAATAGATGCGTACTATCAATTTTTCATGAATGCTGCTGACGCATTTCCATTATCAGTAAAATGTCTTATGTTACTTATCTAGATCAATGTATTTTTTATATATATTGTTATCTTTTTAGTGAAATTTCACGGACAGATTTCGTACAAAGTCGTTTGCGTTTGGACTTTTTTTTTCTCTCTTTATTTATTCAGGAGCTTAGTACAATAGTGAGCATGTTAGTTCCGTGTTGACTTCTTAATCAATTACATTACATCTAAAATTTAAATTACTATAAAGACATATATTACCTACTTTTATCCACAAATTTATAAACTAGCACCGATTGTTTTGATACAGGTTCTGATAAAATACTTCATGCGGACTTTTTTATCTTCTTATATATAAAATTCTCGTGTCACAGTTTTCGTTCCCATACTCCTCCGAAACGGCTTGACCGATTGTCATGAAATTTTGTGAGCGTATTGAGTAGGTCTGAGAATCGGACAACATTTATTTTTCATCCCCCTAAATGTTAGGGGTAGTCCAACCCTAATTTTTTTTTAATTTTTTAGACAAAATTTTTAGTTTCTATTTTTTTATGGTACAACATACAAAAATACATAATCTAAATTTTATTCACTTTTATCATCAACCCCTATTTTTTTATAGCGTTATTAATTTATATGGCAAAACAATGTCTGCCGGGACAGCTAGTAATATATATAAATTATTTTTTTTATATATATATAATTCGCCAAACATCTGGTAATTTAAGCAGTTTCAGTTTAAGGATTAGTGTGTTTGTCAGTCGTTGCAAATTTACCTACATGATTTCATGTTCATCTTATTATCTTCCACTGGTGCCCCGCCAGCGTGTATTGTTAGCGCAGGCTGGCACACCATTCCATTGTCATCCATACAAATAATTGTAACGTTCCCAGCAAGTCAATATGGATAATATTTATTAATTAATATATTATAAAATAGCTACCCGCCCGGCTTCACATGTACATGTATTATACATACAAATCTTTGTTTTGTATCACTGTATCTATTGTTGATAAAGAGGCATGGGCGGGCTTATCGTCAAAAAGAGATTTTTTCCAGGCAACCTTAAAGTAAAGATAGTATGTTACACACAACTCACAAAATTCGCAACACAAAACTCTCTTGTCATCTTATTAATATTATAAACGCGAAAGTTTGTGAGAACGAGTGGATGTTTCTGTCACGGAATGACTACTGAACGGATTTTGATGAAACTTTTCAGGGTTCACAGCTGGTATTGTAATAAAATTTTAAGGTCGAAATGGATTAATATGATTACAGTCATATCGATTAGATATGATATATTATAAACGACAGCTGTTACATTTACCCATCCCGATTGTTTCATGTAGTGTACATGTATTATACATAAAAATCTTTGTTTTGTATCACTGTATCTATTGTTGAGAAAGAGGCATGGGCGGCCGAAAGGGTTTTATTATTATTATTGAAAATATATAAATAAGAGATTTTTTCCAGGCAACCTTTACACACAACTCACAAAATTCTCACTCTTTTATCACCTTATATATATATAAACGTGAAAGTTTGTATTATGGATGTTGTAGTTTTACTGTTATTATTGTAATAAAGACAGCAATTTTAATTGTGCTCGAAATGGATAACATATTGATAGTCCGTAATACGCCAATATTTTATTTATATGACTTTGTTATAAAATAAAAAAAACGTATTACAGATATCAACCTATCACTTTTATTGCTTTATGTACAACGACAGCTGTTACATTTATTTATAGCAACTCGATTGTTGGTATGTAGTGTGGCCATTATGTCTATTAACGCGGGAAATTTTAATACTAATATTCTGAGGGGAATGGGATCGATAGTAATGGGAACTAAAGTAACTCCTAATTGCTAGCAATGTACCATGTTAGATCGACCTCCACGTGGTTCCTCGTGTCCGAAATCATCGTGATAAATTCGTTGTTGAATTTGTCACGATTAATATAAACTATCGAATTATCTGATCTCATCTTATCATCCTCCGCTGGTGGTCCGTTAATGGCGCAAACCGCCAGCAGCAGGCTGGTATCTGTGATGACACCATTCCATTTACATCCAGCGAACTGCATTAAAAAAATTCCGGGACAATAAACATAGCGCTATCTAGTCCCAAACTAAGCAGAGCTAGTGTTGTAGATACTATACAACATATATAAATACATAGATATGTCTATTGTAGTAAATACATACATAATATACATAGAAAACATCCAGACCGATACAATCACAATCATGAATCGAAATGTTTGCACCGTATGAGGAATCGAACCCGCGACCATTCCTTTGGTTTTTATTAGAGATGAAACGGATAGCAGTTTGGCGGATACTATAATACCGGATATTCGGCCAATCATGTATGTCGGATATCCGGCGAAATTTAATAAATAATAAAATTCATTGAAATTTAACTGATTAAAAATTCATAACTAAAACTAATTTTATTCATTTATGTAATACGAGATAAGTACTATGACAAGAAATAAAGTAGTTTTCACTAAAAAATACCCAGATTTTTATTTTAATTCCGCCGGATAGTATTGAACGAGGCTGCTTGCCGGATAGTCTGCTTTTATCACCGGCTGATTTAATATGTGTTTTTATAGTTACCGGATATCGTACGTTTGACATCTACTAGATTTTTCATCATTTGCATCTCCTCATTTAAAAAAAATTGTTGCCTATTCAAAAGTGCTTAAGTTAAGTTTGTTTGAAGAAATGATTTTCCATTCTATTTTTATTCAATTTACTTCAACTTCTTCCCATTTCATTATCTGCCTTCCCCACTTTCTCTTTCCGTGTCTAGGATACCATTCCGTTATTGCTCTACTCCATTTCGCCCTTGGGTCACGCATGTGACCAGCGCTATTCCATTATCATAGATTAAAAAAACCATATTACATTTTATTTTTATTCTTTTAATTTAAAGCAATATCTGGCGCTTTCTTTATCCTTTTGTCTTGTCTTATTACTATTATCTTCTATGTGAATTACTCTTTCTTAATAAGTCTTTATTACTCCATTACATTCTAGATGGCGATGGGATGTTAGAAAAAAATAAATTATATTTATAAAAAAAATAATGCAAATATAAAAATAAAGATAACATAATATTCATGGGAATACATTTGGGAAAAGACGCCAAAACTTCCTAAAATGTAAATACCAGTGTACATATTGTTAATCACGCTTCATTTACCTCAAGGATTGACGCATCTACGTCCAATACAGGAATAACAAATGTTAAAACATATGTTTTCTAAACAAACACCATTGACATAGTCATATTCAAATTGTAATTAAGGTCATACGCTCGTACTGTTCTTTAAAATTGGTTTCTTTCAACTGTATTTTTTTGTCAACATTGAAAAAATTCTTCAGTAAATGTCGTGTAAGAGAACTAACTTTAACTACAGCTAACTCTAAGAATACAGGAACTCGTAAGAATAAGTATCTTAGAAGCAATTGGAGTTACGTAAGACGATTCCGAAAAATTTGTGGTCCGGAAAAATTGTTCCAAATATTTCTGTTCCACGCCCACTTTTGTTTTGTTATTCGTATCCAGTGAAAATAAATTTTGTGGTCGCACTAAATATAAAATACATAAGGAACATGGAATGTAATCAAAACATCACAACTGAGATTATCTACCACATTGTTCGATAAGGTACTATTTTTAAAGCATTCATACTTAAAACACCTGTCGTAAAAGCAATGTTGCTAGTCGGCGAGATGGAAGAGAAATTTCAAGTGGGGCCTGATTTTCCGAAGTTACTAGATAACAACGACCCTCTAGGCCACTTTAAACAAAGGTTTTATATAAGAGAAGGAGTAATATATATGTGCGGCAACTCCTTAGGTTTAGCTTCAAAAGATGCAGAAGAGGGTCTCCTTAATGCAATAGAGAAATGGAAAGAGGAAGGCGTGAAGATATGGACCGTTGATGATAGTAAATATTATTTATATTCTTCATACTTGGCACGTCTTCTGGTTCCTATAGTTGGTGCAGATGAGGATGAAATTGCAGTTACAAATACAACAACAACCAATATTCATCAAGTCATCAGTACATTTTACAAACCCACAAGTACGAAGTACAAGATACTGGTAGACGATATAAACTTTCCGACCGACCGTTACGCTATTGAGAGTCAAGTAAGATTAAAAGGATATGACCCGAAAGACGCTGTTAAAGTGGTTGAAAGCATCAATGGTAAGTTTTTAAATGAGGACGACGTTATAGACGCCATGTCTCCTGATGTGGCCATTGTTTTCTTACCTGCAGTTTACTATAGAACAGCACAAGTAGTTGACATGGAAAAAGTGACCAACGCTGCCAAAGAACGAGACATCTTGATAGGCTGGGATTTGTGTCATGCTGTTGGGGTATTAGAATTAGATTTGAAGAAACTAGATAGTGATTTTGCCGTTTGGTGCAACTACAAATATTTGAATGGAGGTCCTGGTTCTGCAGCAGCGTTGTATATAAACCGAAAACACTTCAATCTTCTCCCCGGGATGGCTGGTTGGTTTGGAAACAAGTCAGAGACTCAGTTCCTTCTGCGACAGGAGTTTGACCATCAGAAAGATGCTGGTGGTTGGCAAATAGGAACTCCCAATATTTTTTCCATGGCGCCATTGGAAGGAGCATTGAAAATGTTCAAAGAAGCTGGTATATCTAATATTCGGAAGAAATCGTTGCATATTACAAAATATTTAATGTACTTAATTGAGGCGAAGTTAACAAAGTACGGATTTACGATTGGAAGTTATAAGGAAGACAGCAAAAGGGGAGGACATGTTTGCTTGCAGCATGATGAAGGGTACAGAATTAGTTTAGCTCTAAAGGATCGTAAAGTGGTGTCAGATTTTAGAGATCCAAACGTTATCCGTGTGACGCCAACAGCTCTTTATACTAGTTACAGTGATGTTTACGAAATGGTAGATATTTTGATAGATGTAATGGAAAAACAGAGTTATTTGAACTTCAGCTTAAAATTGAATCTTGTTGTATAATGTTTTAAAATTATTAACTACCGTGCCTGTAATTTATTTGAGCCCAACTGAGCAGTGTGTACAATTAGAAAGCCTATATAGTAGTGCCTGCTTGTGTAGAATTAGCAAATTAAGCCTTTTGTGAGTCACTAAGGCATAGGTAACGCCTGGACAATTAATGAATGCAAAAAAATTTCACAATTATTAGAAGCGCAATTGTGAATAGATTTACGAGTAGGTATGTATTTTTAATCAGTCGTATGTGATAATTGTTTAAAATTAAAACACATTATATACATTTATTTATTTATTCTGAAACCTCCAACGACACGAATTCGAAACGATACCTAATATATGTAATATTATAATAGTAAAAATAGTTTAGTCTCAGTTGAAATTTATTATAAACTAGCTGACCTTTCGTAACTTCGTCTGCATCACACTTACTTGACATCTATCTTTATATATCGCCCAATTTACATTATGTATTTTTAAATTATAGCCTGTGTTATTCTGTATAAACTATATTACTGGAAATATTTCTCGAAATCTGTTCAGTAGTTTATGCGTGAAAGAGTAACAAACATCCATCCACACTCACTTTCGCGTTTATAATATTAGTACGGGCACATATAACATAATATTACACACTAGTGTGTACTGGGAAAGAAATATTTTAGTCAAGGGGTTTTAACCCCATTCCTTTACTATAATGTTTGGTGTGAGATTGGGTGGATGACTATTTTGGATGAAAAACAATAAATAGAAGGTAAGAACCCTTCATCAGATGCGAGTACAGTTTTCATAGTCATAACCTGCTAGATCCTTGACCAAGAACAATCCAATGTCAATCCAATCCAAATACATATGTACAGTGCTCTCAGACTTTGTGTTTCTGACAGGTCAGAATATTTTTTTTGTAAATACATAATATACATAGAAAAAACCCATTACAACCAATCAGACTCATGAATACAAATTTTTGTATCGTAGCACCGGAGGAAGGCAGATACATTTGTTTAATTTTAAGGGCAGACCACTTATGCCTTGAAAAATAACACTTGTAATTAAAGAAAGAAAGAAAATAGTGTATTTGGTACACATACAAGTATTTAATTATGCTTACATGGAGGTCCCAGCTAGGCTTAAGAGGCCTATTACAAAATGATGCCGCTCAACTTTAGGTTTAATCGCATGGATTTACGCACACATACAGTAATACACGCACACAGACGCAAATAACCGTGTAGCTCAATCGGTGTGGATTTAGTATGAACCATTTTGATCCTTGTAATATTTTAATTAATAATGTGATATGTTTCTACTTAACTGAGACTACTTATTGGATTTTTTTAAATAACGTTATTTATCTTAATTATCAAAGTGCTAATAATGACCATATTTTTTTATTATATTATTCCTAGAGGGTTGATGTCAGGATGCTGGCCGATTGTACAACTAAAAGCCAAAACCTTAAGTAATATGAGTAACAAATAATTGGGATAAGGACAGGAAGATGAAATTACTATAACATAAATTTACTAATTAATTCTTCTTACATATTAATTCAGTTTATTTAGTAATAGATACAATATAATTTATTGTAAGAGTCGGATACATTATTGCCATATTCACTTGTTCTAAATATTATACTTAGCAAATAATTATTTTATTTATATATAATAGTTGTGTTTTCAAGGCTTTGTTTTGATTTAAAGGTCCCATCCTTATATGTATATTAGGTGTGTCCGCGACTTCGTCAGCGTGGTATAATGAAATTGACCAAATAAAGGAAATATATTTAGATTATAACCTAAAAAAGTTTCTTTGTTTCAATTAAACAATGACGATACTTTTATACAACCTTTCATCTCCGCTTTTAATCCCTTACAATACTTTTTTCGCACTATAAAGTAGTCTATGACCTTTCTCAGGGTATACTATCTGTGTATATGTATATCTATCTATATATACTACCTGTGTATATATATGGTAGTGAATTTACAAGGTACAGGGGAATAACACCCGAGTTTTCAGGAATGGCAACGCATGAGGGAAACAATGTGCTGATATGAACATGGCAGGTACTGCTCATGTATATAGGCGACGGTTACCCCTTTCCATCAGGAGAGCCGTCAGCTTGTTTGCCATTCTAAGTTGTAAAACAAAAGCTTCAACTGCTATCATTGCTGTTCCTGCATCATTGACGTCGCCGCATGTTATTGGCTGATATTGCAGCTTCTCGTTCTTGGTTGGCCGATTCTTGATTCTTGATAAATAATTAATTGTTAATGTCAAACCTTTTTATAAATTATTATAAGACGCCTCATTGATTATATGTAATGAAATCACCATGAGCTATAGAGATTTTGGACAGAACCTTAAAAGACCTTAGAAACACCTCTGCTCTCATTGGCGGGATTACTTTTATACTTTTGCTGGAAATTTCTGAAAGACTCTCTGTGTCATTAACATCGTCTCCCTTATGGACTTTAATTGAAAGTTTAAAACTACTGACAAATTTGAGAGCTCATTTTTATGGAAGCACAGATAGTGATTTCCCACACTAAATGCTCAAACTTGAGGAAGGAATTTCTCAAAAGCATGATCCAGTCATGAAATTTAAGCCCGCCGAACATATGCAATGGCGTCCCATTGGATATATTGCTTACTAAAGAATTGAAAGACAATTTAATTGTAGACCATTATAACCGGTACGTTAGCTGGGCAACCAGCTTATATACCAAGAATACCGATGATTCCAACTGATCTGCCAATACCATTTTAACGGCTTCAATTTCCGGTTAAAATATCATCTACACATGTAATAGATCTATGTATGTTTTGATCTTAAAAAACTACGCAGATTTTGATTCGTTGTTATTTAATAGACAGAATAGATAGACTCAAGAGGAAGGTTTATATATAACGTCCCAATACTGTACACGTATCTTTAAACGCGCGATAACCTATATATCCCATATTCACGCGGGCGAAGCCGCGAGCTAAAAGCTAGTCTCTAAATAAAAACATTTATAATGTTGTTGACTTTTCACCCAAACACGTATAATTATTTGACATAACTGTACAGTAATGAAAGTCCAACGAGTATAATAACAGAATAGCTGCAATTTAGAAATATCTGTATTGTGTAAAATAAAATAAAATTGGATAAAATATCTCTAAACATTAAGGAATATAATTTATATATAATTTGGTAATTTATTTACAATCCACATTGCATACTAGATGATATACACTATATAACACAAGACAAATGTACGTAAAAATAATAATGGTATTTTTATAACCCTATTTTAATTTAGAAAAAAACTACAAAATAAACATAGAGTAAAATTGGTTTACATTTTCTTCCATTTTTCTCTCAGATAAGCGTTATTTTAAAAAATACTAAAATGTTCTCTTTTTTAATTTTAACAATTAATTGCCATTAGTGTGACGAAATACCATGCTCTTGTGCTTTTCATAGTCCAGCAGGGTAGGTAGGTTTTATTTGTAGCATAACTGTACTTTTGTCTTGGCATGCTAAAATAAATATTATATATATATATTTAACAACAACTTTAAATTAATATTCGTAGAAATAAGTATATATTAGCAAAATTAATTAAATATTACTTAAATTATCAAAATGGTTTAGTCGCTCTATACTAATGTTCACTGACGAATGTCTTATCTTAGCGGTGTTGTAAAAAATGGCATAGGTCCTACCTCGACGAGCGCTAGCGCGCCACTGAGAATTTACTTTTGGCGCAACGGAATTTATACAACTTTAAATTATTATTATTGGTTACGCCAAACGCGATGCGTACCTGGTTTGTTGATGTGCATTGACACCCCTCCCGGCTAATTCAATAATCAGTGATGTCATAGCTTTCGCCGCGCGCGCACGTCGCACTCATATCGCACGCATGTCTTAATAGTTGTAATCAACCTGAGTGAATTCCTGAGATTCCCGTAACCGTGTGGGCCCACTGAAGAACAATCACATTGAAGTAAGGGTAAGTCATTCATATTTGACCAGCCAGTTTCCTATACAACAATATAGTCCATCGAAGAAGGCTAGATCATAGCCACCGCCGCACCATTTATTGGCCTTCCGTCGCCGGATCACAATAGGAATCGCAATTTATTTATTTAAAATTTGTTTTAATTTTTTCCTATTGTGAAAGTCGAGTGAATGACTCGCATGTAATATTGAACCTTATTGCGCATGTAATAGGATCTATTCAAATTGCATACCACGGTTGCACAAATATAACGATACATTGGTATTTTCGTTAATAAATAAGTTTATATTTATGTCGCTTATGAATTGTTCATAACTCGCAGCAATTCTTCAATTTCGCTTTATATCTGTTTGCGTTGTTTCGTTCATTTAATTTCACATTCACCCGCATTATATCGATATTGTTCGATCGATCGAAGCTTCTAGAAATATTATAGTTGTCGTTATACTATTTGACGAAACAATATTACCTGTCGAATATTATGTATGATGATTGTAGTGTTTGAATGTTAAGATTGTTAGTATTTTAGTGTATGACCTTGAAATTTGCTGAAAGTCATTGTGTTAATTACCGTAGTCTTTACACAAGAAAGTGAGCAGGGAAAGCACACTATTTAATCTGAATAATTATTGATAAGCAGCGATTTTATTTCTGTTCGTAATAGATATTTTATTTCCTTGCAGTACTCGCCGTATAATACGCTGGTTATTGTAAATTGTTTGGGTATTTAGTTCGCATAGCTGTTTTATACAATACATGTCGGTTAAAGATCGTGCCCTACGTACCTATGATTAAGTTATACGTGGTGTATCGACACAGTGACTAACAACAACGCTTTAGACTACTCCCGCGTAAAAATAATAGTTGTGAACATAGTTATTTTATATCTTTTTAGTTATAGTTATAGATATATTATCTGATTTTCTATGACATCACTCACTTCGATTTCGCTTTATGTATAGTTTATGTTTCGCTCGCATATTTTTTTTT